GCAGGGGGTTGTGGCTGTCCAAACCTAGGAAGGCAGAGGCCGGTCCCTGGAACCAAGTGGGAGTGGCCCTGGTAGGTAGGCCTAAGAGCTGATAAGGCCAAGCCACACTGCCGTTCGTTCGCCTCTCTCCTTGGCTGCTTTTCTTGGGCATCCTGGGGGCTCAGCAACTTAGGGAGACTGGGATTGCTCTGAGGTGCTCACCTAACTCAGACCCCAAATCCCAAAATGACCCAGCTCACTCCCAACAGAGCTCCTGAGGAACAGTTGGAAAGACTCCCCTGACCCCTCATTTGAACTCCCCAAATTACTTTCTTAGTAATTTCTCCTTCCCCATCTTCCATGTCAGCACAGATTCAGATGGTCCAGGCCTCCAGAAGCCCCCCTAACCCCCTCATGGAAAGTGACACCCCTTATCCCTTTCTTTACCAAAAGTAAGAAACACCTTGGTTCATGATTTAGCCCAAACCCCAGTGCACATCCCTTGACAAGCCTGGGAGTAGGGAGCAGGAATTTACATCCATGGGCACCTCCTGTGTGCTATCCTCATGACCACACTCACCCTCACAACCGTGGGGGCACGGTGGCCATCTCCTGCTCTCAGACGTAGAAACTGAGAGGTGGGGCCACTTTCTCCAAACCCCAGCAAGTAAGAGGAGAGCAGATCTGTCTCCTAAAATGCAAGACCTTTCCATCTTATGGAAATAGGGTTTCATTCATTCATTCATTCATTCATTCATTCATTCATTCTCAGTCATTTATTGGCTCCTCTTTCTGTGCCTGGCCAGACTGCAGGAGGGTCCTGTGGATAGGCGGAGGAGGGCCAGCTTGGTCCTGAGGGCAGTGGGGAGCCACTGAGGGGTGTCGAGCGGAGGATGGAAGTGTCCACAGTTCAGGATCCCTGTGTACCCACCCATCATATAGACGACTCACCTGTGGTGCACAGTGAGTGGTTGAACAACTTCCCCGAGGTTGTACAGTGGGATGTGGAAGTTGGAGGCCATTTTGGAATCTGGGGTCTGAGGGGCCCATAAGCCCTCAAGGAGAGATACCTGGTGGGGGGGCCTGGCCGAGGCTGATGGGTGGTGCTAGAAGCTGGCAGGTGGCTGAGATGGAGCGGGGAGGGCCCTCTCTAGAGGGCCCAGGGCCAAGGGTTGGGCTCTCTCCTCAGAGAATGGGAATCTACAAAAAAGTCTGAGAAGGAGCAGGCAGTGTGGCAGGAGTGAGACCAGGAGAGCCTCGATCACTAGCACCAGGGGGAGGGGGTGTCTGTAGGACAGAGGGGCCCCCAGTGCCAACAGGTGGATGCTTGTGGGTGCTCTGCTATTTTGTTCTCCCCACAGCTGCGCACCACAGCAGGCTTCCTTCTCCTCCTTGGCATTTTTCCAAGGCTCCTGGCTGCCTCTGTTCCCTCCAGAAGGCCGGAGGAAGCTGTGGGGGGCATCAGTGCCTCTGGGCTCCCCACTGGGGCCCCAGGGAGGTGCCAAGGCAAGAGCTGAGAAGAGAAGTGGGGCAGGGAGGCGGGAGCCCCAAAAATGGGTACCCATCGTGACAGGGACGCTGGGCTGCTGTCTGTCAGCACACGGCAGCAGAGGCCTGTCCCCAGACTTGGCCTGGCTCTGACCTGCCGTCAACCCACCTACTCCAGAGATCAGGGCCAGGGCCTTGCTTGTGTGGCACTGGCCCTGTGACCCCCCAGGGCCATTTGCCTCCTCGAGGCCAAGGTTGACCTCTCAAACTTCAGCTTGGGATCTACCGTGGGCCCCTCTCCTATGCTCTAAGTACCAGGCCCAGGCCTGGTGCTTTCAGGCTGTTCAACAAGCTGCTTTGGTTGCCCAGTCTTTAAAATGGGCTAACACAGCTCTTGCCGGGAGGAGGAAATGAGGTCGTTCTTACCCTTGCCTGTGGAGCGTGTTCTCTGGGCCAGATCCTGTGTGGGGCTATGGGCCCAGCTGGGTGAGAGCTACTCACAGGCCCTGCTCTCCCTGATGTAACACAGCCCTGCTTTCCCTGCCATCCCATGACAGGAGCATTGGGAGAAGTGTGGGTAAGTCAAGGAAGTGCCGGGAAGGGTGATTCAACCCTGCCTGGAAGGGATGAGGGGGCCAGAGCAGCTCCCAAAAGGAAATGACATTTGAATTGTGTCTGGAAGGACAAGCAGGCTTTTGTCAGTGGGGGAAGTACAGGGAATGGCATTCTTGGCCTAGGAAGGGCATGTGCAAAGGAGTGGAGTTGGGAAGGAGCGCAAAAGAAGTGCTTGGGGACAAGCTGGAGGAAGGGGTGGCAAGAGTGGGGCCGTGGGAGGCTGGCAGGGTGGCCATCCTGGGCCTGACCAGCAGCATAGTGGGAGGCTGAGAGTGGGACCTGGGCTCCTTGCCAGGGGTGGGCATTCTCTGGGCAGGAGTCCTGCCCTCCCTGAGGGTCAGGCTGGTCTGGGCAATGCTCCTGGCTTGGCTTCTTGGGGAGTCCTTGGCTTCTGGGGACTCTAGAGGACACTGGGCTGGCTGAGCTTTCGACATCTGCTTTATTAATGCTGACTTTTCTGTTTAGTCTCCATTGTTGGGCAGTGAGGGTGAACCATTGACCTGCCGCATCTTTCTTCCATTGCGCCATCCCTGCCACGGTGATGTCTCTCCGTGTCTTGTCCGGAGGCCCAGCTTCCTGCTCTTTGACTTCTCCTGACGGCATTGCCGCAGGAGCAACATCTAGGTCTGAAGGGCCCCTAGGTCTTGAGTGTGTCTGCCAGACAGTGCCCTGAGCTCATGCAGGGCCCCTGCTGGCATTGCCCCCACACCAGCAACCTCCCTCAGGGGCGTGAGCACCGGCCCCTCCAAGGCAGTGCTGTGCAGTGATGATCCTGCAGGAATCCAGATCAGGCCACCTGGGCTCAAATCTGGGGTCCACCTGGCTGTGTGACCCTAGGTAGGTTACTTAGCCACCCTGCTTTGGTCTGAATGTTTCTTTCCACCCCCTCACCCATTTGTATATTGAAATCTGAACCTCCAAGGTGCTACTAATTGGGGGTGGGGCCTTTGGGAGGTGATTACATCATGAGGGTGGACCCCTTATAGTTGGGATCAGTGTCCTGAGACCACAGAGAGCTAGCTTGTCCCTTCTACCATGTGAGGACACAGGGAGAAGGCTCCCCTATGAGTCAGAGGCAGACCCTCACAAGATACCAAATCTGCAGGTGCTTTGATCTTGGGAGTCCCCAGCCTCCAGAGCTGAGGAATAAATTTCTCTTGTTTACAAGCCTTTCAGTTTATGGTATTTTTGTTACAATAGCCTGAATACCCCAACCTCAACTTCCGTATCTGTGAGTTGGGAAGGCAATAAACAGCAGCTGCCTCCAGGACTGCTGTGAGGATTAAATGAGATTCTGCGTGAGAAGGGCCAGACCTGCAGTGAGTGCCCACCTCCCTGTTCCTACCTGCTTTAGCACACCAACTGTGGGTATCCTTAATCCCTAAAAGGTGTCACCTTCCTCAATCAGTTAACTGTGTGGAAAGGGACAGGAAGTGGCCCAAAGCTTCCGGCTAATCAGGGCGTGTTGGGAGGGGGCTGTGGATTTCAGGCCTCCCAAGGTCCAGACTGATGAGATCCCATCTAACCTGTTTTTAAATTTCTTCCTTTCTTTCTCTCAAGCTCTGTCTGCCCTGTAGGAGGGAAGGCTCTTGGGCCCTGCTACGGCTCTGGAGCCTCCAGATTGCCTACTGTATAGTGTGATGGTGGCCTCTGGGGATATACCACCCCCAAAGTCCGGCAGAGGTCCCATCAGGCCTCAGGGCAGGCTTTTTCCTGCCATTGACAATGGTCTGAGAATTGAATGGATTGAGTTCCTTCCTATGGCTTTTAGATAACTGGCCCCTTCCAAGTGTAAGGCAGAGTCAGGTGGCTGTAATCTGTAAAAAGTTCAGGCCTTCTGGCCAGATGAACACTTTTGGAACGGGTCAGCCAAAGAATTGCAACCAAATCTGTGTAAGGGTAATTCCCCTAATGGAGAAACTCTCAGACCAGTTCTGTTTGCATTTTGCCAGTTCTCTGGGGATAGATTCATTCACTCGTAATTCATGCCATCATTCATCCATCCACTTATTCATGTACCCATCCAACCCCCCCACTATCCATCCCTCTACCTTCCTATCTACCCATCTTCCGTCTATCCACACCTATCGCCTCTATCCATGCACTCACACATCCCACCCAGTCCACACCTCTGTCCACCCCCCATCCAACCATCCATCCATCTCTTCATTCATCCACCTTTCACCCTCCCATTTAGCCATCCATCCCCCATCCCACCCACGCATCCGTCTTTCCATCCAGCTTCTGGTCCATCCACTCACTCATCCCACCCAGTGCCCCCACCTATCCATGTCCTTACCCCCTACTGATCTTTCCTGTCATCCTGCTCCCCCATCCCTCTCTCCATCTGTCTCTCCATCCAGGCACCAGCTGGACCAGCTGTCAGTAAAGCCTGGACCAACAGTGGCCAAGGCTGGGGAGTAGCACCACATCCTCTCTTTGACCTTCAGCCTCACCCTTGGCAGACTACTGGACTTCTCAGGCCCCCAAGAACATTCTGGTGAGTGCCTCTGGTCTCTTCCTGACCACCTCCTGGATGCCCTGCCGACCACCCTGCCCGCCCCCACCATGACAGGGCTGCCCCCTCCCCCACGGGTTGTCACAGCTGGATGGGAGGCTGGGCCCGGGGTGGACGGCAGCTCACCGTAGCCTTGCTCATACTCTCGATGGCGGCGGCGGCGGTGGTGATGGTGGTGGTGATGGTGGCGGCGGTGGCGGTGGCGGTGACGCTGGAGCCGGGCCTGCCGGTCCCTGCGGATGCTGCCAACGATGATGGTAATGCAGGAGAGGATGATGACCACACCTATGACTGCACTTGCCACCAGCACAGGAGACACGAGCAGGTGGCTGTGCTCCGAACTTTCTGAGAACGTGGGGTAGAAATAGCTGGTACGGTTGTAGCGAGCTACTGGGAACAAAGAGAGAGGACACTGGACTAAGGCACAGAACATGCCACAATTTCTCCTCCATACATGCTGCTCTGTGAGTTATTTGTCCCTAAATAAATGGAGGACTGTTCTGGGGTCCGCCCCATGGACTGTGTCCTAGCTGTTCTCGTGCCAGGGAGGAAGGGAGCAGCGCTGTGTCCTGTGGCCTGCGGGAGCCTCTGCCAATGGCGGCTGACCTCCCCTCCTCTCCTCTCCAGCCTCTGTCCTGAGAGCGCAGCTAACTCACAGATAGCAAAAGAGAAGCTCAGAGAGGGCAATGAACTTGCCCAAGCCACACAGCAAATGAGTGGCAGAGTTGAGGCTGGAACCCAAGACTCAGTACTAGACAGGGACTCCACTCCACCAAGACATGAAGTTGGAAGGTCAGCATAACCTTACCAAGGTCTTGGCAAGGGGTGGGGAATGCACAGAAGGTCAAAGTATGAGGACCAACTCTGTTGGCCTCTAACGCTAGCCTCCTGCTCCGGGGTGAAACCTTACCCGGGGCACTCTAGGGAGATCAAGTGGTAACTGACCCAGATGTGTCAGGGGGTCAGATCAGATCAGATCAGAGGAGGCCTCCCAGAGTGGCTATACTAATATTAGAAAAAAATAGACTTTAATCTAAAACAAAAAATGCCATTAGAGATGAGAGGGACATTTTATGACAAAGGGTCAACCCATCAGAAAGCTATAGCAATTATAAACATATATGCACCTACGAACACAGTCCTAAGATACATGGAACAAAGGCTGAAGGGAGAAACCCACGATGCAACAGTAACAGTTGGAGACTTCAGTACCCCACTTTCAACAAGGTACAGAATTTGGTTTTGTGTCTGCTCTTGACTGGTTGTGATGGCTTAAGGTTTTGATGAAGTTCCAGCTTCTTATTTTTATTCCCTTGGCTGTCAGCTAGCTACCCTAAGCTAAAGTTTTCCATTTTTCTTCAAGACCCAGAGATGAAAGGTGGCAAAATGAGGCTCCCCGCCTTGTCCGTGTCTCAGGCAAAAGAGATCTGCTTCAGTCGTCCAGTGTGACCTCAGTTTAGGAGGAATCAGTCTTTGGCTGTGGACTTGGAACAAGCCCACCACTCTTCCCTCAAGCTGGGCCAGTGGCAGAAGCTACTGACGGTGGCTCTGTTTCCCGTTTGGTCCAGGAGGCAGCCTCAGCATCTTTTTCGACACAGCACTCCACACAGTGATTATACCTGGGCATGAAATGGAGCTTTTGGCCCCACTCATCTAGTGTGACCTCAGTGCCCCATGCTACCACTCCTGAGCTGGGGGCTAGGGCTTTGGCTTGGACTAGAGCTAAGTCAGTGGCCACCTGCTACCACATTCTCTCCATTAAAGTACAGGCCAGCCAGCTGTCCAACCAATGTCACCCTCTTCCTCCTCACCATGTGGCCTCTCACATCCGAAGCCAAGAGCAGGACTTAGGAGTGTCCACAGTATCAGCTCTCCTTGGAGAAGGTAGAAGTGTATGGGGTCCACACACTGTCCTGTTCAGTGTGTGCATGACTTGGGACACACTGGTCACCCATGACTCAAGGCAGACATGGCACCAGAGAGCTGGCCCATCAAGGCTGCAGGTGCCCAGCGTGAACCCCTAGTGTTGGATGTGTGCACACGTGCCTGTCCTCCTCAGCATGCAGCAAGGTGCTGGCCCCTCAGGGTCACCTTGAGGATGCTCCTCCCTCCACGGCCTTGGCATCAGATGAGAGCCTGAAACCACCCCCCCTCCCCGGCAGTGCCTGTCTCATTACCAGTTGGGCACAGAGATGGCATCACCCGTGCCTGCAGATGGAGCCAGTTGGCACAGGTGCCTGCCTGCATGGCCAGTTGAGAAATTAATCTTCCAGTCACCGCGACCAGCAGAGGTAGGTGCTGCTTTAAATTATGAGGGAAAGTCTCCCAATTTCTAAACACAGCGTCCATTTTATCAACAAGATATATATGACCTCTCTGACAGCCCCTGTGCCCCACCCCTCTGCCTCTCTGCCACCGCACACCAGCTGCACAAGGACAGAGGATAAAGCAAGCTTTGCCTCTATCTTGAACTTTCTTCCCAAGCTCCTTCTACAAGTGCCCATGATCAAAAGGAAATTGTACCTCAAAATACCATCTCTTCCCTGAGAGGCTGCCTCCCCCCACCCCGCTCGACATACCAGCAGGAGTAGGTACTGTCTCTGGAACATTTACTGTGTGTCCCCCACCATGCTCGGTAGGTGTCACACACTAGATTACCTCAATTCTCATGATGGACTGTGATGGGATCCCCAATTTAATAGGTGCAGAAACTGAGCGCCAGGCAAGTTAAGTAACTTGCCCAAAGTCACATAGCCCACAGAGGGACCTGGGGCAGTGGGAAGCCTAAGCCCCATGCTCTTAGCCAAGGTGTTATTCTGTGATTATCAGGTACTAGGCTCTGAGAGCTCGTTTCTTTTCTTTTCTTCTTCTTCTTCTTCTTCTTTTTTTTTTTTTGATCTTGATAAATGAAAATGTTCCTATCCCTAAAATGATGCTTTGCTGCTTCTGGATCACTTTATTATAGTCAAAGCAGGCTATGACCTATGGCTTATCCAGCGTGAAGGCATATCAACAGCTGAACATTGCTGATAAGACACCGGGATTCCAGAGAAGGGAGCCAGTGCGTGTTGGGAAGAGACAGATCACAGCAAGCAGGTATTCAGGAAGAGGAGCAAACAATCGAGGGCTGGGGGAGGGGCCCCCTATTCTGTATATCTTCCATGTCTGCATCTGTTCCAGAGGTGTGCTTGGGACTGTGATGAGGGGCCCTGGGGCAATTTCCCCACCAAGGAACAATGTGAATGATATGGTAGCTCTCACTGAGGATCTATCAGGACTGGTCAGGCTCTACACCCTTTATAAGCACCATTATCTCATTTACCATCACAGCAACCTGAGAGGTAGGTGTTGTCTTTCCCCCCAGTTTATAGATGGGGAAGCTGAGGCACAGATCTAGTCAAAGTGGAGCCAGAACTTAGATCCAGCCTGTTCAATGCAATTCCCAAGCCTCCACTCATACTCGCTCTGGTTCCTGGTAGGCTGAGGGCCCCTGGAGGGCAGGACGTGAGTCCTATCTGTCTTGTCACCAGGTTTCTCCAGTGCTTTGGGCAAGGCCAGCACAGAAAGGGAGCCCAGGAGCCATTTGAATGGCATGGAGGGAAGTCAGAGTTGGCTTGCTCTGTGTGCTTGAGTGTGTGGGGGTGGACCACGTGAGCTGCTCTCAGTCATTCTCACTCACCCACTGGCCCTTCCTTCTTCCCATCACTCACCCAATTGTCCAGCCCAGACACGGGATCTACAGCTGTTTACAAGCACTGGAAGATTGTTGGAATGGAGGAGGTGCTATCATATAGGGGAGTAAATCAGGGCTTAACTGAGGAGTCTGGGTCTGGGGTGGGCTCCAGATCAATGGTAAGTCAGTCTGGCAAATTCCACCATAGAAGAACTGTGGGGCCCCCAAGGAGGGCTCGGTGCATTTGAGGAATCATGAGAGAGGTAGAGGCTGAGGTTAGAGGGGCTGGCATTGGCCAGACCATGAGGGATCTTGAATGTCGAATCAAGAGTTATCCTTTATCCGAAGGGCAAAGAAGAGACATGGATGAAGGAGCATGTTCAGAGTGTTTTAGGAGAGCCCTCTGGCTGCAGAAGGGGGGCAGGGTGGGAAGTGGGAGACCAGTGAGGAGGCTGCAGTCAGGGTCCACGTGAGCACAGAGCTGGGGTGGAGGAGGCTGAGGCCCGCGGCCCCATACTGTGCAGAGCTGAGCATGGAGCAGGGCTCAGTTGATCTCACTTGATGGGCATAAGGCCACTGCAGAGAGTTCCTTCGCCTCTCCGAGTTGATGTGCCCAGAGCAGGCCTCAGAGACAGGCCTGATGCTTCTCCCTGTCTGCAGATGGGGTCCCAAAGCCCTCTCTGGGGCTGGGGTGGTGCCTGGGTCCAATGGCCACTGCTGTGCCAGGCAGAAGCCTCTGCCTCCAGACTTCTGGTCCAGGGCTGGGACTGGGAACCACAACTGAGTCAGAAGGTTCTACACGACCCAGGCCTGGATGTGGAGCTGAGTCTAGGGCTTGCTTCTCCTCTGTGCAGATGCCTTTGTTCCCCTCATTTATAGAGGAGGACACTGGGTCTTGGTGAGCTGAAGATTTGCCCTAGTTTTATGGAAGATCTGGGATTTGAACCCAGGCGTGTCTAATAATTCATCAAACAGTGGCACAGAGCAGGGGAAGAGAGCAGGACGTGGTAGGGGTAGAGGTGGAAGAACTGGATTCTGTTCCTGGTTCTATCACTCGCTTGCTGTGTGACCTTTGGCATGCCTCTGCCCTCTCTGGACTTGCTTGCCAGCTGTCCAAAGAGACACTTATTCTCAAACGGTCCTCCCTCCAGGGCAGGTGAATGGGTCTGAGAGGGGTGGGGAGGGTGGTGGCAGCCAGGTGAGCACAGAGGGTATGAGGAGGGGCAGGAAGATCCAGTCCTGTGTCAGGGGAATGGGGCCAGGGCTGGCTTCAGTCTGGGGAACATGCAGGGTAGGGAAAATGAGGCTGATGATCATTATCAAGTCCTTGCTGAGTGTAGTGTACAGGCAGCTCTACAGTCCCTCTGTCTGGGGACTGTACAGGGAGGCGGTCTTTGCAGACTGAAGCCACCTAAGGAGCAGTGACAAAGAAAGGGCACTGAGACACTGGAGGTGCTAAGCTAACATCTTTGGACCTAGAGTCCTGCCCGCCCCCTCTGAGAGGCTGGCTAGAAGAGAAAGGGGGGCCACAGACTCACATCTGACTGATGACTCCTGTCACAGAAAAGTCTGAAGACATTTGTCACAGGTCCACTTCCCTGGCAAGTCTGGCCTTGGCAGTGTACTTCTTCCTATACTGCTAACACCACCAGGGTGAGGCCGTGCGGTCACTGCACAGAAAATGGAGAAGAGGATTCAGGCACTATCTTCTCTCTGCTCGCCTTTGGCTGGTCCCAGCCTCCCAGCAGGGATGTGGAGAGGGGCTGGGGCAGGAGACACGGCAAGGGAGGCCCACTTGCTTAGGCATTTCTGGGTCTCCTTCTCTGCTTTTTAGGGTGGCCTCTCAGCCCACTTCCTGATCCCTATCCTCTGGTTGCCAGGCAACTGTGATGGAGAGATGTCAGAGTGCCGGGGACCGGTCAGGGACATCCATGCAGGGGTGCTGGGTCTTGGGGGACAAACCAGCTGGACAACATCAGAGGAGAGAGGAAGGTGCACAGAGGGGTGAGATGCCAACAGAGCTCAGGAAAGGAGGAGGTGCTCCTGGGGCGAGGCTGTAGGATGTCATCTTGATGGCAGCTGAATGTTGGGATTATGGGGGTGAGGAAAAGGCTACTTGGTGTACAGGATTCTTCTTATAATGAGGATACGTCTCTATAAGAAGTCAGCTAATGTCATTTTAGGGTCCTGAAACCTTTTATTTGGCCATTTGTGGCATTACAAGTGGGGCAGATTATAGTAGATAGAAAGATTGGAATATAAAGTCATCTACCATCAATCCTCTATAAATTCACTCAGCCAACCAATCATCCATCCTCCTATGTATTTACCTACCTAGGCATCCACTCACCATTCACTTGATCATTCATCCATCCATATATCCATCCATCCATCCATCCATCCATCCATCCATCCATCCATCCATCCACTCACCAATACTAAGTGCGTAGTCCATGCCTGGACATGTTCTAGACAGTGGAGACATGATATGAGTCAGATGAAAATGAACCTCTCAAACTGTGGAAGGCAAGAGGTCCCACACAGGTGCCCCGGTGCTGAGGGGGAAAGACTGGTACAGGATGGAGCTCACTGCTCTCCCTCCACACGGAAGAGCCCTGCTTCCATCTGATTTCCATATCAGGGGTAATAGGAGAGTGCTCCACTGCCTAGAAGATTTTCAACCACTGCATTAAAAAATAACTGGAAAATATAAGTGACTACCCACAGGCCTTTCATGGTTCCATAAATATAAGATGAAAGTGATTTATTCCACTATTAAGAGACCATGTAAGATATTATTAAGATGCCACTTAAATAAACTCACCAAAATTAACTCACATGTACTTCTACATATCTAAATTCTGCAAGTTTACTGCCTTGTCATCATTCACTAAGGTTTTATCTCTGGTTTGATGGATTATTTAATGGCTGGCAAACTCACTGTAACAGCATCACAAACCACTTTTCCCTATTTCTGCAGAGGAAATGGTGAACTGGCCTATGTTACAGAACCAAAGCCATGACAGAATTAGGCTTTCCACTTGAACCCACACCAAACTCTCATTTTCTTGCTAGAATCATCACTGGCCCTGATCTCCTCATTTTCCTTCCTCTTTTGTCCACACCTAGAGTTGGCTCTTAGGCTATTTTCCACAAAGAACACAGGGTTATATAACACCAGGTGAGTCACTGTCATGCTCGATGAGTAGGAAATCGTGGAACTGTGTTGAGAAGCAGATGCTGGGGGGCTGGCTTGGCCCACTCATCAGCTTGCATTACAAGACTCAAAATCATAGCTTGGAAAAACGACCATTTACTACAACATGGACTTTCCAGGAAGTTCAATGAATAATTGATAGATAAAATGTTAAATTTATGAATGCTGCAAATTATCCTCGGCTTTCCCACCATAGCTGGGCCAGGCTAGGGCTGTGTACTTGGGCCACAGTATCATCTTCCTCAAGTTTTGCTTTGGCCTTTTGCTTTTGTGGGTTCTGATCCTGGAAAACGTTACAGGTGATGGGACTTTGTCCCCTGCTCCACAGAGGTTCCCTCACCTCCCAGAATTTACAAGGGCATCTGGGAAACCAGCACGAGGGCAGCAGTATGTGGAAAATAATATCCCAGGGGCGCCTGGGTGGCTGAATCAGTTAAGCATCTGACTCTTGATTTTGGCTCAGGTCATAATCTCGTGGTTTGTGAGATCGAGCCCCACGTCAGGCTCTGCACTCACAGTGCTGAGCCTGCTTGGGATTCTCTCTCTCTCTCTCTCTCTCTCTCTCTCTCTCTCTCTCTCAAAAAAAAAACAAAAAACCTTTAAATGAAAAAAAAATAGTATCCCATATGTAGAGAGGGCTTATTCTAGGAATGCAAGAATGGTTTAAGACCAGGAAATCTATTAATATGTCACTTCAGTAAGTAGGATGAGAAAAACTAATAGACTAGGCAAAGCCAGAGACCTCTTGGCCATGAGAAATCCAGTGATCTTAATTGCATGTCAACATCACATTGAACCACAGAGCTTTGGAAGAGTTTCTCAGCAGGTGGTTCATGGAACATGAACTCCTAAGAACATTATGGGATGTTTGCCCCCAAGATTGCTTTGCAGCCCTGAGCCATCTTAGGAGCCAAACCAGCCCCAGTATCAGGCCCTTTATTCACCAGTATTCTGTATCCTGATGTGAGTGGCCTATGGTCCTTTGGGAGAAGGGATGACTCCTCAGCCACCTTCCTTGGGGGAAAGCCTAGAGCTCCCCTGCCAGCGCATCTTGTCCTAGGCTCTGCCTAAGTAAGACACATAGTCCTGGGTTCAAATCCTGGCCCTGCTTCTTGCAGGCAGTACCCTCTGAGCAGTTCACCCCTTGGAACCTCTATTACTTCAAGACTCAAGATTTTAAACCTTAAAATCTTAAGAATATCCCCTAGACATAGATCTAAATATGAAAGGCAAAACAGTAAAGCTTCAAGAGGAAAACACTGCAGTATATCTTCATGACCTTGGGTTTCTTAAATAGATACACAGGTACTAACCATAAAAAAAAATGGATAAATTGGGCTATATTTAAAGATCTTTGGTAGGAGTTTGAGCTTCATGGGAGGTGGGCAGGGGGCCAAGGAGCTGCCCAGGACTGAGATGGGAACAGGATCAAGGCCATGGCTGGAGCAGGAAGAAAGTTGTGAAAGACTTTCTAAATACATTCATCATTTGCAACCTGCGCAGGACACTGGAGAATGCTTCCCATGGAGGTTCCTGTCTGTATGGATGCCTGGAAGTGGTTAATAGATGCCAAGATGCAAGAGTCCTTCTTCACATCTTTGTGGAACAATCCACTGTTTCACAATGAGCTGTTTCCCTCTAATGGGTTTGTTCTTTGCGGGATACCCAAGAGAATAGCGATACCGTCAATTACAACAGGTCAGTGTCAAACAGTGTTAACAGAGTGTAGTACGTCTTGTGGTGATACAGGAAAACTAACTTGGGAATCTAGGCTTCATGTTCAATGAAGGGACCTAAGACAGCCTTTCTCCAAACAAGTGATAAGTAAAAAGTCCTGCAGGATTGCTTTTCGGTTGGAAAAATGCAAGTCTTAGCAGCTGACCAGAAACGTGCGATATTTACCCAGGGCTGTCTTTTGATGATGCCTCATGTAACCAGTGCCTTCGGTGCCTCTGATCACCTATGTTTTAGTATTAGCGTCCCTTTGGTACCTCCCTCCTGCAATGGCTTCTGCAGCAGAAGTGCAGTCCTTGGTGACTCAATCAAACCTAGAAACAGACCCTCGTTCTGTTTTTATAATATGTTTTTGCGTTCTGTTCTAAGTCAAAGCTGCTGCTGAACAAGGGGAAAATACCGTGTGCACCTTTCCCCTCTCACGCACCTTTTGTCAGCTGGCCGTCCCTGTGGCCCTCGTAACAAGACAATGGTGTATAGCTGGCCTCTCACTCTTGTGCACTTAAAAATAAATTCTACTGTGAGAGAAATGGGTGGATGTGCTAGGACTGAGCCAAAATTGAGACTGAAATGATGGGTAAACATTCATTGAATCATACGCCAAACTTCAGCCCCTCTTGTGGTTAAGCTATTTAGTTCAGTGTTTTTAGTTAATACTCAATGTAATTTATATTTGAAAAGAATTCAAAGAACACTCCACAGGTTTCTGAATATACAAATCCAGTTATAAATTACATAGTGTCTGAGAATTTGAGAGTCATGTTGTTTTAGATAATTGGATTTTACGCTTGGTAGATACGCCAGTGCACTGGTTTCGTGCAGGTATAATTGATCACCCTGCCCCATTGTGAGGGGAACACAGGAGAGTGCCACGGTGCCATGACTCCCATTGTTTAGGAAGTGTCAGTGACACGCTGCACGCACAATAGCCACATGTATGGTAAGGACAGTACTTAAACTGTTGGAATCACTGTCAATACTTTAAAATGTTGGAGGTCGCTTTTTATCTCGAAGAAATGAGATTTTTGAAAAAATTTAAACTATTTCATGAGCAATCCTTTAAGTTTCATTGAATCAAAAACCTGAACTTTCAAAAATAGACAAAAACTCTTAATAAGGCTGCCATCCATCTTAAAAGGGGCCCACCTTGGCTTTTACATTGATAAAATTTTATTCTCGCTGTTTTTCTTGCAACACCCCTTCCCCAATCCTCACATTTACCCCCATTCCTAGGGGAGACAGGTATCATCCAGGGGATGAAGGGCCCGGGGATGGGCAGAGAATAGCTCTGGAATGACTGTCTCTGGCAAGGCCTAGAGATTACCTACAGACATGGAGTCCAGTTGTGGCACAGGGGCAGAGGGAGCAGCCCCGAGAAGCCGACCGTCAGGGGGCTGATGGGGGACGTGGTGTTTACATGTAGAGAGAAGCGAAGAGAGAGGACTCTGGGAGGTGAAATGTACTCAAGCTCCCAGAGGGATCAGTGTGGCCAGTGCCCTGGGCTTAGATCCAGAAGCCCTGCTTTTGAATCCTATCTCCTCCCCTGGCGGGTCCCTGGGCATGTGACTTGTCTCTCTTGGGGCCTCTTTCTTCTCTCTGGAAAGCAAGCAGGCCTGCACGCTTCTGCAGTGACATCACAGAGGACAACCAGTTTTTCCCAGTCACCCTGGGCACAGTTCCAGGTGCAGGCAGAGCTGAGTTTCAGGTAGCTAATCTAGGGTAGCTCGTGGCAGATAAATGGCAGTGTCCTTACACATTTCTATTTGCAGGAAAATCCATCTCCTCTCTCCCAGTGCACTTGGCCCTGTGATGCCACAGGTGACGACTCTGAAGATCATGCTTCCCTTGACAAGATTTCTAGATACAGAAGCCATTTTTCCCTCCACCAACCTAGGGCTCAGTTTTTAGATTTTTCCTTTTCCAATACTCCCTGGTTGTGGCAGAAGAGTCTGGACAGTGGTCCAAGTGATGGCAATGGTGCCTGGGTCCAGGAGGAAAGATGGAGTCTGATTTGAAGGTAAAACCATTAGGATCTACAGATTAAACGGAGTGGTGGTGGATGAGAAAGAGAGCACTAAGAATTGACCAAGTTTGGAGCCTGAACACAAGAAAGGACTGAGCTGCCATTTACGGAGATGGGGAGGATGACGGGCAGGTTTGGTGGGGGACTGGGAGTCAAGATTTAAGGTTTTGACATGTTACATCTGAGATGCTCTGGAGAGACACTGAACAGACATCTGAGTGGAGATACATCTGAGTGGGCCAGACCGTCGGATATAGGAGTCTGGAGCTCAGGGAGAGTCTGGAGCCAGAGATGTAAATTTGGGGGCTGTCAGTGTATGGGTGCTGCTCAATGCCATGAGGCTGGATGATATCACCTAGGGAGCTCGCTGCCAAGGGGGGTGGGGGACAGTGAAATGCAAGAACGTTGCCAGCTGTGAGTGCCCTGCAAAGGCTGGGGGTACTGTGTCATCACAGGTTTTCCCCGCTCTCTGAAAGTAAAGGGTTCCCATGAAACCTTTCATAGCCAAAATGGCGTAAAGTGAAGAAGAAATTATCATTAATTTATTTGGAAAAAAAGGTTTTAGTGTCCCCAGACCCCCAAAATAACCTCTTTTAGGCTTTTCTGATAACTTAGGACACATCTTGCTCACGGATGCACAAAATCAAGATAGGGCACAGGTGCTCCCAGACAGAGTTCAAAGCTATGGCGGCTGGATGAGGAGATGCTGGGTGTGGTTCTGGGGAAGGAGCTTGGTGGGCCCACTCTTGCTGTTTGGGGTGTGCGCTGCTTCTGTCATGGCTTGCTTTTGAAAGAGATGCTGAACAGTTTTCACTTCTCGCCTTTTTTCACAAAAGCGAAATTGTCTTCCGATTTCTTTCGGTTAGTGGAAACAGGTGCTAACTTGGCTCTTTTGTAAAAGTGAAGTGGCATAACTCAAACTTTCAAACACTGGGGAATACCTGTAGTACAGAACACATGAGGTGTTCAAGCTGAAGTTGATGCCTTCCTGCCAGGGATTCTAATATAAAATGTGCATTTCAAATTAAGATTAGCTATCAGAGGCTGAGCACTTGCTGTAGTCAGACCCTGCCAGACCAGAGAACTCTGAGGACAGGTAGCCAGGGCATTCATGGTCCTGCTGCAGAGTGGACTCTCCATCCAAGGGGTGGGGATGAAGGACTGGACTGGACTCCGCCCTTGTCCTTTTGTCCATCTGTGGTTTAGCTACAATTGAGCCCTGGAAAGACCCACCTGGGTTGTATCCCTGGCCCCATCGTTTTCTAGCTGTGTCCCCTAGCGTAGTCTCCCCCTGTCCTCGAGGCTCAGCTTTTTCATGTGTGGAATGAGCACACTCATCCTTCCCTTGCAGGACTGCTTCAAGGAAGCCATGTGAAGAAATGATCATAGGCCTTGTGAGCCCTTTATCTACAATATCTCATTTGATCCTTACAGCAACCCTCTGAGGTGGAGCCTTTAATTAACTTCCATCTTACAGATGAAAAAACTGAGACTCAGAGAGAAATGTCTACCTGAAGTCACTTCTGCTATTCTCTTGCCCACTCCAAAGTCAGGCCACAGCAAGGAACGAATAGGGGTTTCATCCCACAGGCCAATGATCATTGCGTGGTGCTTGTGTGTGTTTAAGGGAGTCTCATGTTGCATCCAGGCTCAGTAGGAAGGAGTGCTGCAATTGATAGGCAATGTCTGCTCTAGGAACAGTAGTGGCAAATTGTGAACGTGTCCTGTCATTTGTGTTCCTTGTCCTCAAGTCCTTCCTTCTGTTGATAGCTAAGTCTCTGCAGAGGTAACTCTTATTATAATGAGCAGAGCAGAAAATAGTAGTATCTGGTCCGAATCCCAAATTTACCTCCAAAATTCCCACGTGTCTCTGTTTTCCCTGCTCTATCACTAAAGGCGTGGGTAACACTAAGCTGTGTAGGGAGGAGGTGGTCAAAAGGACAGGACTTTCAAGCTTCTTGAGCATCTTCTCAGTGTCTGGCATCAAGCTAGATTCTCCTCGTGGAGCAGGTTAAATCTGAACATCAAACCAAAAGGCTGGTAGGACTATTTCCATGTTATAGAGGAGCAAATTGGGACTTGTAGTTGTTAAATAGCTTGCTCCGGATGTAATAGCTGGTAAGTGTCAGCACTAGGTTGTACACGAACCCAAGCACTGTCTACCACGTAACACTGATTCTGCGAGAGACCCAAACCCACCCAGAGGCTCTGCCAGACTGGAGTTCCTGCCAGCCTGTCGGCAGCCCAAGAGCTTAGCAGAGACAAGTCCCAGCTGACTTCTCCGTGGATCAGTGGATGCAACCCTAACCCCCTCCTTCCTGCTTTGGTACAGGCTCAGTCTCTCCGGGGTCCCCAAAGCCCCTCCTTCCCCAGATCTATCTCCCAAGGCCAGTGGGAAGCAGGCCACCCCCATGTCACAGGGAGCTCCACAGGACTCTGCCAGGGGCTAAGAAGAGGTTGTGAAGCATCTGTTCTTGGAACCTGGGTCCCGGGTGAATCCTGGGCCACGCTGCCCAGCTGGAGGCAGATGGATAAGACTCCTATGTCTCTAGTTTTCCTGAGGAGCCAGGCTGGTCCTCCTCCACCTCACAGAGGGGCTTAAGGCTAGAAAACGGCTCACTGGCCTGGCAGTCACAGACAGAAGAACTGACTTCTCTCTCACAGTGGTCAAAGCCTACTGAGCTTCCCCTTCCTGTTCTTGCCTCCACCCTCTGCCTTAAGTCTTCTTACCTGCAGAACTTGGGGGAGGGGGCTGTCTCTGGAAGCCAGGGATGAGCTGCAGTGCCCACAAGGTGGGTGAGATGGGGTGGAGGGAGTGGGAAGTGTGCGGTGTGGGCAGTGCCTGGGAGGAGTTGACCCAGCCTGGTCTGGTTAACTCCTGCTCATCTCCCAAGAGGCCAATGGACAGTCCTGCTTTGCCCAGTGTCTGAAGCTGTGGAAACTGGGCAGACCCATGTCTGTTGCCTGGCTCTCCCCCTACACTGGTTACCTTTCCCCACTCACTCTCCTCAGTCTCCGGACCCCCCTGCTAGGAGTGGGGTCTTGCTTAGGAACCTTTAGGGTTTGTTTTTCCTTCTGGGGACTTTTCCCCATTGGAAGGGGATTAGGTGTAGGGAAACCCAAATGGGAACAAGCTATGGCTCCTCCCCTAACTTTTCCAGGTTTTAATGGGCTTTGGTATCTTCACATGTACTGGGAAAGATAATTTTATGAGCTAAGAAAGTTAAATAAATTCCATTAGATGTCTAAATTCACAGTACAGGTAAGGAGGTGTTACAAAAGAGTGTGTGTGTTCATGTCAGGGCCCTCCTGGTACTTCCGGTTCCATCCCTTAGAATGTTCCTGTTGCAAGTGTTTTTAGGATGTCTGGAGTTCTGTGGTTCTGCGTCCCTTCCAGAACTTGTGTGAGGGTCTCTTGTCTGAGCTGAGGGGGCTGCCCACAAGGCATCTGCTTCATCTTGATTCGTTTACGTGTCTGGTTGTGCGATAAACATTTACTGAGGCAGCAATTTCCAGGTTGAATCTGAAGTGTGGCCCAGACAGAGGCAGAGTCTCAATGGCAACCTGATGACCCAATTTGGACCCCCACCCCACCCCCCTCCCGGTCTCCTCAGGCAGTTGGTGCTGATGGGTGTGTTGGAGGGGAACTGAAGGTCCCTCACAGATTTCTGGCCTGAGGGACTGAGTACATGGTGGTGCCCTAAACCAACACAGTAACCAAGCCAAGCCAGTTGGAGTGAAGAACTGTGTCTGGGACAGGCTGAATCCGAGGTGTAGAGGTAGGGGCTGCCCTGGGGCACCTGGGTGGCTCAGTCGGTTGAGCGTCTGACTTCGGCCCAGGTCATGATCTCACAGTCTGTGAGTTCGAGCCCCAAGTCAGGCTCTGTGCTGACAGCTCAGAGCCTGGAGCCTGCTTCTGATTCTGTGTCTCCCTCTCTCTCTACCCCTCCCCAGCTCATGCTCGCACTCTGTCTCTGTCAAAAATAAATTAAAAAATAAATAAATAATAAATAAATAAAAAAAAAAAAACTTAAAAAAGAGGTATGGGCTGCCCAGGGGAGACAGGCAGCAAAAGGCAGAAGAAGGAATCTGAAGGTGGGCAGAAACCGGGCTGGGAAAGAGCCTTGGAAGCTGCTGGCCTAGAAGCTTCAGCTGAAAGCAGAGAGGGGATGAGAAGGTCTAGAGTGTGTGCAGGGGGAAGGCCAGGGGCGAGGTTTGGGCCCCAGCATCCCAGGGCAGGCAAGGCAAGAATCCACCCTCCCCCACTGCCAAAGGACACCACCAGTGGACAGTGAGAGGAGGACCAGATGGCTAGAGGGGCTGGAAGAGAACCCAGAGGGCTCAGGGTCAGGGAATGAAAGGGAGAAGTCTTCAAGAAAGCTGAAGTGACCAACAGGGAGAACCGGAAGCTACAGAATGGGTTTAGTGACACAGAAGTCAATGGGATGTGTGGTGGGGGTGCAGAAGCCAGACTGAAGTGGGCTGGGGTTGCTGAAAGGAGGGGCAGTGAACACTTTCCAGAGGAAAGGGAAGGAGTCAGACTGGAAGACGTAAGAAAAATCTGGCAGAGAAGGAGAGGGATGATGGAGGAAGGGGTAGGTCTGGACAGCCCCACAGTGCTGGGCCTGCCATTGCCAGGGACCCCTTCTCCGTAAAATCTGAACAGATCCCAACCTATATATAGGTGTGAGTAGAGCTGCACTGGCTGAAGCAGTGGGGTGGGGTGGGGTGGGGTGGAGGGGCGAGGGTTCTGCCCGCACATGTGCCCCTTGCTTTCTGTGGAGCCTCACAGCAGCCCCGAGCTCCCAGAGCCCACTGGCCTCAGACCACCCCTTCATCTTACAAAGGAGGACTGGCCAGCCAAAGCCATGG